CACTCCGGAGCAGCACAGTAGTGAGTCCTCAGCTCACAGGGCATGTCAGGACCACCCTCACCCAACCCCGGGAAGTCATGGCCACCCCGGAGGAGGACAGCCACTTTCAGCCCCAGAGCAGAGCCTCCTCTACATGGCCCCAATCTTGGGACTCAGGCACAGGAACGGTGGATGGAGAAGGAAAGCGCATTAAGCCACTGTGGCCCTTCCCCCTCAAGCTTCTAAAGTCATTTGCAGAGAGTGGGGCAGGAGGAGGAGAGCTTTGAGTCCAGTTTGAGATAGTTGAAAAACGAACAAGACCGGCCTGGCTGCCATGGTGCAGTACTCAGCAGTGCCGGAAGCCACAGTAAGACTGGAAGGTGAAGGTTCAGTTCCGGGTCAGCCTGTGCCTGCTGGATGTGGACACACATGCCGTGATCCTGGCTGGCAGGGCTGGAGGCGGAGGAGGAGGTGACTGTGGTCTCATGACCCTGTTGAGGGTGCTTATCTTTCTACGTCCCCCTCCCCTCTCCCTCATGAAATAGATGAACTTAAAAAAACATGAACACGACTGAGTTAAAAATATGAGCATAATACTTTTCTAATATCCAAACATGTTATGGAGTTATGGATTCTGGCAAAGACACCATTAAGAGTCTCAACCCCACAGTAAAGATGGGGGCTCAACAGCACAGTTGGGGGCAGTTATTAAAATGCCATAAAAACACCTCATGGGGCCAGCAGGTGGCATGCGTGGTGGTTACAGCGCTGGGCTCCCACATGGACCACCGCAGTTTGAATACCGGACCTGGCAGCTCGATTTCTCAGTTTCCATCTCTCTGCTTCTCTCTAGTGAGCACGTATACCCTGTAACAAATTACTGGGTCGTCAAAAAAGTCATGATGAATTGGTGTCTAGAAAAACACATGACTTTCCTGACGACCCAAAATAAATTAATAACGAAGATTTAAAAAATTAAGTAATTATTTTAAAATAATAACAACACTTCATAGTTACACTTCAATGAACTGGTACTGTAACACACAGTTCCAGTGTGCTCTTCAGTGCTCAGGGACTCACAGGGTCACCCTGACATCAAACAGGACACACAGCACAGTGTCTCTCTGTATGACACGCCTACACAGGCCACACAACACCCCCTACATCTTCTGAAACAACGTCCCCAGTAACCGAGAGCTCGACATCCGATTTCTCTCACCTCTACATGGCATGCCTAGGTCTTCTCCATCCACTGTGCCAGATGCCGCCGGGAACATCAGCTCAGAAATCTCACATACCTCAGTTCAAATCCTGACTCTGCCACTCTCTAGCTATATGCCTTGGGGTATCACTCGACCTCTTTGTTTCTTTCTTTTCTTTTTTCTTTTTTGTTTTAGATTTTTGTCATAGATGCATGTGCTTGCCAGAAAGAGACAGAGATAGGGAAAGTGAGAAATCACCCCCCAGGGAGTCTGACCAGACTACAGTTCCTTCTCCTCCATTCTCCTCCTGGGATTTTGGGCACAAACACACATGCATCCAGCATGATTTTCAATCCCCCGTTTCAGGACTTGAACTGCTGTCAGTCATGTGAGAGTCTAGTGTTGTAACCACTACTCCACCTACTGGCCTCTCACTCAATCTCTTTACGCAGAAGTTTCTACATCTGCCGACTGAGGCTGTTATAAACTCCAGCTTTGGTGGGAAGAACTGGAGTCTATACAGATAAAATCTTTCAAAGCATAGCTGATACTTTATTAGTCATTCAACGAAGACTTCATGCCTTAGGTTACAGAAAGGATGGGGCAGATGGACAGAACAAAGAGGCAGAAGAAGGGGTGTAGGGAGGTGTGGGAGAGGGGGTCCTGGCTGGGTGGCCAGAGGTAACCTACGAGCCAGGTGAGATGAAGCAGGCCTGCAGAGTCTGTATACCCCAGAGGCCCTGCTATTGAGCACAATTCTATAAACAACCTTGCTGGTGTGCTGTTGGGGGCACACAGGTCTGATCACAAGTCTAATCACTCCCAGGAACCAGGAGGAACATGTCCTGCCACCTAGCGGCCAGCCCAAACACTTTCTACCAGCAGGAAACAAGTTCCTCTGAATGGGAATGTGTCTCCTGGGGCCACGCCCCAGCGATGTGTACACCACATGTCACCCTGACCTCATGCCCGTCCAGGGCAGGGGACTCCTCAAGGATCCTGTTCTCAGGACTGGGATCAGGCCTGACCACAGGCAGTTGCTTCTGAGGCCCTGGTAGCAGTGTGGTCATGCTGACCGCGTACAGGCCCAGCGCAGCAGAGCTCCCACCTGGGGAATTCCAGCATTCCCACTCAGGCACGACACGCCCAAGACACACCAACGGTGGCCGCCTGCACCACCCACCCCCAACACCGGAAGAGACTACAGCTCAGAAACGCGGCCAGGAAAACTAAGCTTTCTTTACACAGCAGAGCAACAGGCCCATGGAGGAACCTGCCACGTTTGCAAACTTACCTGCCCCACTTGGCTGTTTTCTTCCCAGCTGCTCCCCTCTGCCTGCCCCTGACCGCTGCAGTTCATACTAACATGCATCTTTTCAAACAGCAACGCGCTAGGAAAGGGTGGGCTAATCTGAAGCCCAAACGGCTTTACCTGTTCTGGGAAAACTGGAGGCAGGTGCAGCCTAATGAGTTTGGGAGGATGCCGGGGCCAATGGCAGCTTTGGAGTTGGCAGCTGCTCGTATTTACAAACAGGAGAGGGAGTGAAAGTTTCCAGGCTGAGAAGTTGCCCGAGGAGGCTGAGAAATCAGACCAGCCATCTCCAGACCGATCCCTAATGGAACAGCAAACCACTAGCAAACGCTAATGCGGTAATTAGCCACCAAATTTAAGTTAATTAAAAGCTAATCAGAGTGTAAAATGGAGCACTGCATCAATAAATCACATGCATTTTTGTGTGTGAGTGCTGGAGGGCGCACGTGCTGGACAGAGGACAGAGAGAGTAGAAAGCACCCCCATGTGAAATGTTCACGCCACAATCCCTTCTCCTCCATGTCTCCTTTTGGGATTTTAGGCATGTGCATTCATTCATCTAGTCGGTTTCTCAACCTACTGGGTTTGGAACTTGTACCAAGTGGTCAGCTATGCAAGATCCACTAGGCCGTGAAGCTGGGCCAGTATTGCTACCTCCAATAGAAGAAAGAGGCCAAGGTGAAGCATCTTCTAGCAGCTGCACAACTGACGTATGGTCTGTGGGGGATTTGGGTCCACAGACAAGGCCGGCCTCCATAGTGACCCGAATCATTGGCCAGGTGAATGGAATGAGCACCGCTAGCCAAGCCCTCCCCAGAGGGGTCAGCTCCCTCTCCACTGCACCTCAGTGTCCGGCACCAAGACTGGCAGGATGGACTCTGCATTCCTGGAGTGGTTCTTCAGGTCATCATCAAGTAGGCACCTTTGAGCTGAGGCAAGCACTGAGTTGCACGAAGGAAAACAAAACCAGAACCCACCAGCATCCCTCATCTTCCCTGAATGAATGGCATCAATGAACAGCAGGTGGGCATCCCTTGTGGTGGAAAGGCGGCTCGTGGCTGATTCTGACTCACCTTCTGCAGACAGGCCCTGGATGTTTATCCCCTTAGCTGCCAGGAAATTCAAACAGGCGTCTATGTTTTCAATCTAGGGGGGAAAAACAAGACAACTCAGAAACACTCAGTAAACGTTCGGCCTCTCAGAACCATCTCTTATTAGGAGCGCTGTGAAATCGGTGGACGGATGGACGCAGGCTCGGACCCTCCCTTGTATGTACGTGCTCAGGAAAAGGTTACTCAATATCCCAAGCGTGCCGTGCCAGAAGTCGAGGCCCTGGATTGCTCACCGACTCCAAAAATAACCAGGGTGGAATTGGAGCGCTCATCTTGATAACTGTCACCAGCGCGGTCCTGAAAACTTGAGCAGCTGCCCGAAGAATGGAGGTGGGATGAGGGCAGTGGCCCCACCCACCCACCAGCAGCTGGGAAAAAGGCAGCAGCCCACGGTTCAAAGGCTGAGTGGACGTTTCAGCAGGTATCTGGGCAGTGTTTACTCACACGGTTCTCAGGATGGCAGGTATGACAGACCCAGGTAGGACCACGACCTCCTGAGAACCTCTGTTCTCTGCTCTCTATGGCGAGGAGGGGCCCAACAGCAAGAGCCTGGCAGGCCTCCCAGGTTTGCAAGGCTGATGACGGTGTCCGGGGCAAGCCAATGTCTGCCCTCACAAAAGGACAATTAGGTGACTCTCAAAGGGCTGACCTGGCTTCAGTTATCAGGGCTAGTTATTTTTCGATATAAAGAAAACTGTTGAGTTGATTAATGTTGATGATGACCATAGTGAGAGAAAGTGCTTTTGCCCCGGCACCAGATTCTTTGCACGTCACACAACCTCACAGTGGGGACCCTCTGCCCTCCACAATTCCTCCACTCCACATGATATCCCAGGATCTCCCAGCGTTCTTGCAAACTCAAACCAACATCTCCCCACGGAGTTTATTTTGAATTAATACATGCTGTCTTACACAATCTACACGGGACCACTCTTCCTCCCTATCCCCGAGCAACTTCCCGCCACAGACGCAGGAGGATGCTACATTTTTTTTTTCTTTAAATACATTTGCGTCATCAGGCCTAGAAAGATTTCTGTTTAAAAAATTTTTTTAAGTTTTTCTATAGAGCACATGTGCTCAGCAGAGAGAGAGATAGAATGAGAAAGCAAGTCACCAGCTCTATAACTTGAACTGTGGTCAGCCATGTGAGAGTCCAACACCTTAACCACCACTCCACCTGCTGGCCCCATAAGTCACTACATTCTAAGAGCTCTAATGTGAGCAGGGCCAGCTCCAGGGCCATCTTCCTCAAGTTCATGTCTGCTCTCCCGCTGGTTGGCATTTTCCTCCCTTTTCTAAGAGCTCTAATGTGAGCAGGGCCAGCTTCAGGGCCATCTTCCTCAAGTTCAAGTCTGCTCTCCCACTGGTTGGCATTTTCCTCCCTCCCACTCCACCTGCTGGCCCCATAAGTCACTACATTCTAAGAGCTCTAATGTGAGCAGGGCCAGCTCCAGGGCCATCTTCCTCAAGTTCATGTCTGCTCTCCCGCTGGTTGGCATTTTCCTCCCTTACTCCCAGTCTTCACATCCTCCAAATGCTTGAAATTAAGCTAAGAGATACCTGCACCCACATCATAGACTCTCCCTAGCCTGGAGAGGCCTTTAGTGCACGGGACAGCCCTCCACCAGAGGATGGACTGATCGAAAATGTTAACAGAACCGAGGTGGGAAGCCCTGAGTTCTATGATCCCGCTACGTGTTCGTCCATCAGTGTAATGGTGTCTGCCCTGTGCCAGGCACTGCCCTTGATTCCACTACATGGTGTGGGTTTTCAGAAGTGGAAGTTATGTGATGGGAAAAGTGGGATAAGGAGGTCAGATTTTTGACAAAGAATACACAGATCCATAGCAAACCAGGGGCTAGAACTGAGGAGGTCCTCCTCCCTGTGCGCTCACCAGACAGACAGAGAGAGACATAGAGACAGAAAGCGAGAAATCACCTCCCAGGGGTGATGGTCATGCTGCAATCCTTTCTCCTCCATTCTCCTCTCGGGATCTTGGGCATGCACGCACATGCGCCCGGCGTGAGTTTAAGCCACTGGGTCCGGGATGTGAACCGCGGTCGGATATGTGGGAGTCCAGCGACATAGCCATTATGCTAACTGCTGGTTCCCACGCATCCAATTCTTATCCATCTGAGGGAGAATCGGAGCTTACTTGCAAGGGAAGCATCAGGCTCTCCCTTCACTAGGTGAACAGAGAAGGCCCAGGGGCACCAAGAATGTTTTCTTCTAAACTGGAGGTAAAATCCAGGGAGCAGTATTCAGATAGCTGGGCTAAACTCTCAGAAAACGTGAGACTAAAAATAAGAACTTGGTCATCATTTAAAAGATCATTCATAAACCCATCAAAAGCCCTGAATATTACTCTCCACTATGAATTCTCTGTTCACAGGAGTTCAAAAAACATTCCTGCAGTCTCAAATCCACTCTTTAATAATGTTCCATTAAGGTTAAAAAATCACTCCTGACAAGGCGGCCAAGACCCACGCTCTTTTCATCTGCACCCCAGGAGGAGTGTGAAGCCGGGAAGCAGAATGGGGTCAGATGTGGGCTCCCACCTCCTGCTTCATTTGGAATGAGATCACAGGGGGGGACTGTTTCTTTGATCCAGGCCCTCTTGTGATTAAAATGCACCTTACGGTTTTCTTCCAAACACTGTACAGGTAAACAATCCATCCTCACGTCCTGCTGGAACTGCAAACGTTCACCACATCCCGAGAGGGAAACTGCCCGGAGAGCAGCACCCGGGACTCGGGGCAGCACAAGGATGTCTTTGGCCCGTGTCTAATGAAGGCCCGTGCTCATGTGGGATCCAGACACTCAGTGTGAGATGAGGAGCCTGCCAAAGTTGGGAAGCAGAGCAGTAAAAAGCCTCCTAACCAGCAAAGTATGTAAATATGCCCGAAGTTGTTCATTAACACATAGAGGCCAACATAAACGGCTTTCCAAAATTAGCTGGAAAAATCTGTAGGAAGCCTGACATTCCAGTGCTGCTGAAGGGGACTGGGTGAGGAAGTTGTTGTAGCTGTTGCCATAGAAACGGGTCCAAGACCTCTGAGTTCAAGTTGCTGGAGTTTTGTTTTATAAGAATTTCTTTCTTTCTTAGCGGGAGCTCCCCCACCAGGGTACCCTACCCACACCATGATGCAACCTTGGCCTCAGCAACCTGGGTCGTGGGCACAGGCAGCCCCTGGAAAGCAAAGTGGAGGACTTTCTCGTCGGGCCAACATCAGTCGCAGGGTGCCATGACAAGGCCACACCACTGCCGCTGGCCCAAAATGCTGGAGTTTTGCAGAATTAGCTGGGATGAGGGTAGCGAGCCCAGAAGAGGAGCCACTGTGTGACTTGGAGACACGAGGAGCATAATGGTGCTGGTAAGGGGCGGGGGGAGGGCAGAGCTAAGGGGCTGACCAAGACCAGGATGCACTTTTCCAGAATTCTCTCTGTAAGAGGCCAAATGTGGCCTCTAGCTTATACAGACCACGAACATCCACGAGAGAGGCTGCAGTGAAGCCTCTCCCAGAGTCACAGCCAGGCCCTCCTTCCCAAAGCCGAACAGTTTCTCAGTAGTCTGAACTTTTGACTCTCACGTTCCAGGGCTGTGGATGTGGCACCGTTTATCTCCCAAAGCCAGAAGTACGTGCCCGTCCAGGATGGCCATAGAGAAGGAGAAGCAAAACAAATGCTAAACAACTGGAAAGAGAACGGAGAGCTAGGAAGCAAATGGAAAACTTCACATTTCAATCATGATTCAGGCTGCCCGGAGTCTCCTGATAATGTAAAATATGCAAACCTCGGAGCACTGCTGTATATCCCCGTGGTAGCTTAGAGACGGATCAAATACCATCTGTTGTGGCAGTTGTCATGGCAGCATTTTCTCTGAATACCAGCGCAGCTGAGTGCAAAGCGCACGGAAACGAGGAATGCAAATGAAGACCATGTCTACGGCCACTACCGCAGCCTAGAGGAGGACGGTGTTCTGGGCATGCCACGTAAACGGGGCGCTAGTTTTCATGAGTTCACAGTTTCTCAGCAGGCCCCTCGGAGATCCGGGAGAAGAGGCCAAAGTTGTTTACAATCAGGCATGGTCATCACCTTTGTGTAAAACCATGAAATGCCTGAAGTCTAAGCAATGCAAGACCCAAACTCCAGACACGGTTACGCGGGGACCTGCGAGCTCTGGCGACCTTAAAAGCACCGTGGCTTTTTCACGCGACTCATATATCCACTCGAACAACTTCTTTCCAGAAGGCGCATTATCCTCACACCTAGTCACGGCTACTTGCCATTAGAAACATCATGACCATCCAATCCTAGTTTACTGCTTCACCCGTATTTACTGGGCACCTACTTACCGGGTCCCGGGCAATGTGCTGGTGTTGGGTACACAGTGGTGAGTAACAGACATATCCCTGACCTTGTAGAACCCACAGTTGAATGAAGGGAACAAGCATTAAGTAAATAATGCACAAAAAATACATGACCACAGCCGCCACGGTTACTGTGTCAGAATAGAGAGTGCGGAGACCTATCCAGCTCGGACGGGGACAGCGAGAATTTCTTCAGGAAGAGACCACACGCGGTTTCCACAGATGGGGCTTTTTGTCTCCCTCATTCACTTGCGTAGCCCCAAGCCTAGAATAGGGCGCAGCAGCTAGAAGGCATTCAAAATATTTGTTTGTTGGAGGAATGATGGGGACCCAAAGAAAGTCAAGTCTGGAGCCCACTGGGCAAGGGAGAAGATCAATGAAGCTCACGCTGCAGCAGGGCCGATGCCGGCCACTCAGGGCCACATCAGCCACAGGAAGGAAGTTCACGTGGGGAAAAGAGACACAGGGAATCCTATTTCTTGGGAAACGTGCTTTCCTCTTGTTACCATGACAAGCCAGCCCAAGCCCTTCCGGCCTGAAAGCTAGGGAGGGACTATTTTGTGTTGGGGGTGCTCAAACAGTGGGCTCATGGTGGGGCTCCAGGGACTTTCGCACTGGATGCTGGGAAGAGGAAGGGTCTGTGGTCACATGCACTAGGAATGTG